GGACCCAAGGAAAATGACCCTGTTTTCCTCGCAACGGCGGGGAGGGCGAAGTGGGAAACTGCTGCTCGGTTACTTATCTGAAAGGGGGCAGGGTTACCGGCAAAATAAATTGGACATTTTCCTGTTCTCAAGCTGGGGCCATGGCGCGCTCACCCTACACCCTAACCGTAGGGTTATACGGGCTCCCCTCCCCGTGGCAGTGGATTTCAGAGACACTCCTCCCCACCCATGCCCTTGTAGAGACAGCAACACAGCCCCAGCAGAGGTCTTTGGAGCCCTGAGAATAATGTGCTGAACGTGTTGGGTTGAGAAAGGACGGACGAAAACCCATTTGGGGTCAGTTAAGGAGAGTCTGCCCTCTCGTTTAACACCTGAGTGAGAAAAGGCCGGGCTGCAGCGCTGGGGAAAGGCGCTTCCTCTGGCAGACAGACTCTCGGGTTCCTTGTGGCTGAGTGATGTGGCTCAGAAATGCATATTGGTCTGTGAAGGGGCAGGTGAGCGGGGAGCCGAGAAGCTAGACCCTCTGCGGACACTGGACCTTGTGTCCAGCGAGGTTAGGCAGGCTTTGACAGCAGTTACTTCAGGCCACCGTGTCACACGCAGGCATCAGGGTGGTGGGAGGGTTACTTGCGGGTCTCTTTAGCCCTGCTTCTGTCGTGAGTGTGGGGGGACGGGAAATGGGTGTCTGTTTATGCATACTTTTCACAATTTGTATTTTTTAATTTTTATCTCATTTATTCCCACGTTCTTTTTCTTTAAAATTAAATGCCCTCCCCCGGAATGTTATATCCGTAGAGGAATCAGGGCATCTCATAGCCTGTTACTGGCAACCAGCCTGCCTGAGTGAGATGAATGGGTTCCTTTTCAGGGCAATTAAAGACCCTTGCACCAAGGGAGCCTCTGGGAAAAGTTCTGTAATGGTGCACTGGGTGGCCATTAGAAACCCATGTGTGTGTGTGTGTGTGTGTGTGTGTGTATAAATATATATATGTAAAAATGCAATGATGCGTTCCTTGCAGGCATGCACACTTCTGTGTCTACTGAACCACGTGGGACTGTGTTCCCAGTGTTCGCTCAAACGTTCACGGAGCATCTACTACGTGAATATGGCTCACCGTGGGAAGTTCCAGGCCTAGGAGGAGCCGGAGACAAGTGTGGTAACTGCTGTGACGGAAATTATCAGTATGAGCTAAACGATTCCTTACTTAAACTGTGAGTCCAAAATCAGAGAAGGAGTGGAGGAATGAGGTTTTCAGGGGTGTCCTGGAATAGACAGCGTCTATTCCAAATAAAAGGGCATGGGAAGTACAGTACAGTGGGGATGGCAGTCAGCCCTGAGAGGAGGCAGGTATAATATATTCACCAAGACTCCAATGGTCCACTAGTAACAAGAGGTTTGGTTTTTAACCTGAAGGCACACAGAGTATCTGGCTTTTCTGATTTATCTTTTGGGGAGTATCTGACAGTGCAATGGAAAGTTATCCAGGAGAAAATGAAAAAGCCACCTGGAAACAGTTCAGGATTTTTATCCACTAATGAAAAACTACCTTTTCCCAGGTGTGGGTCCTTCCTCTTGGCCCTAGCAGAGGAGCTTTATAACGATTAATGATGCTTTTATTGTGTAATTTGGCCTTTGTAAGGCACTTGAAACAGCAGGGGTTGCAATGTTCTAAAATTCGTCTGTGAACACATTGTGTGGGCAAGGAGAACTCAGAGCAGAGACGAGGAAGCAGGTGTCTAGTGGTCCAGACCAGTGAGGATGTGTTTCCAGAAACATGTTTCCCAGAGTCGTCCCTTTCCTCCCACTCCTCCCTGAATTCTAAGTATTGTTGTCAGGATCTGTTGAAGTAGTAAAAGATGTTGGCATCGGAGACACACAAAAGCCAGCCTCCAAGTTGCTCTGTGTGGTTGGCAACACTTACTATCTCTGATCCGTGCTAAATCTCCCTGCCCACAGCTAGCTGTTGTAAAGTCTGTTCTTTGTTTTTCCTCTCTTAAAATTATGAGGGAGAAAAAAATGCTACACAAATCATTTTGCATAAAAAGCCAGACTAATTGCTCTAAGCTGTCTTTTTCACCTCTGAACCCTAATAATCACTGACAAAGAAATCATGTGACAGGAGCAGCCGCTGGCATAGACAAAGATGAGAGCTGCTGGGTGTTTTGTCTTTCGCTGATGGTCTTTAAGATGCTCAAGTAACTTATTCAGGGCTAAGACTACAGTCCTTGCAACAAACCTTGTCTCCTAGTTTCCAGAACGTGCTGGGTTCCTGAACTCCTGGGACTAACCCTATTGTTTAAGATTCTCTTGTGAAATTTTTTATTGCTGTCTACTGGGAGCAGAGTGATTAACCCTAATGAGCTACGGGATTGGACAATATATATCTGAGCAAAACAAGGAAACTTGGGGAGCGTGTCTGAGAGAAAAAAGAACAGTGAAAAAACAGTCATAGCCACTGCATTTAAGGAATAAGTTCAGAAAATAATACAGCTCCAGTAAAGAAAGTCAAAATACACAGAAGAACTCCCTAAAAGAGGCCACTCATCTTCTCTTCTACGTAGAAAGCTTGTAACAGGAGAGAAAAATAATAAATAATTCACTCCAGCTACAGGAGGTCTCATAGGGCAAAATCAAGCCAAGCCTTAGAAAGAGGAGGGAATGCCCTAGTCTTAAAACCTTTTCCCTAAAACATTTCACATTAGACTCCTACACCAAGTCCGTGCTCCCCTGAACAAAAAGAGCCAGGTGTATATGTTGTACAGTTTATCAGCCTTGCAGATAGTTTCTTGTGCGTGTTGATAATTTTACTAAAGCTATTCCACCTTCCTCTTCGATCATAGTCTATTCCGTATTCCTAACTTTCCCCTGTTTCCTTGTCTCTAAGCCACAAGAAACTCAACCGTTCCCTCTCGGCACCAAGAAATAAGAGCAGCACACCACAGCAGCAACACAGAGCCAGTGGAAGGGATGCCTGTGTCAGGCTCGCAGCCTCCTCTCACCTGGTATCCAAGGCTTCACCCAGTGCCCGGGTCTCCGAAGGAATTCACTGCTTCTGTGTGTGTTGAATGACTCCTGTGCATCTACAACCTGAAATATCCAAACTAGAGTAGGCTGTGCTTGACAAGCATTCTGCAAGGGATGTGCTTAACAGAAATAAAGGATATAACCTCACACCTAGACGGTGGCCACCCAGATACCAGGTGGGGTATCCAGTTTGAGTGTTGGTCCCTAACACACAAAAGAGACTTTGAAAATGGTTATTTAATAAGAACCAAGGTCGCACTTCAGTATGAGTATATCCCCAGAAGATTTCTGTGTCCCCACAGGTACACATACATACGATCAGCAAAGATGACTGTAGGACGTTGACTTCTAGCCCCTTCCCCACACCTGAGCCAGCAGACCACACACTGTCTGATCCTGCTCGCAGACTCTCTCTCACTCCCCACCCCTTTATGCTGCATTGCACTTTTCTATCGTACGTTATTTCATTTCTTCATTCACTGGTTATTAAACATTTCCAAAGGCTAAGTGTGGGCTTCTAGTACAATGAGAGAGTATGGCCTGGAGGCAGGACAGAAGCCTCCACCCGGCCCTGAACCAGGTACTCTGGTGTCACAGGCAAAAATAGTTCAAAAACTGGCTACAGGAGCTCATCTGGGTTGCCTGGACAAGGTCTCTGGCCTTCGGAGGGAAACTGGAGGAGTCCTGAGCTAGAGATCTGGGGTGTTTGAGCAGGAGCCCGATCACAATAGGCCTCTCCTGTGTAATGTCAGGAGTTTCTGCTCTGTCCTGAGAGCAATGGGCAGCCATGGGTGGATGTGCAGTAGGAGGCAGAGGTGACCTGGGTTGTTTTAGGAAGGCATCACAGGATGATGGGTTAAATAGAGCCTCGCAGAGGAAGGGTGCTACACATATAGGGGACTTTTCCCTTGTCATTTGCTAGGATAGAGAAGGAGGAGGAGCCAGTTTGGGAGGGAAGCTGATGGGTTTCATTTTTGAAAATGAATCTGCTTTTGGATATCTTCAGAGATGTCACTTGGGTCATTGAAAATGGGTCTGCAGCTCAGAGACCAACAGGAGTCCTGAACAAGTGACAGATCCAAGTAGAAGAAGAGATCTGTACGGAACATGCCAAGCAGAGTTCAGACACCATAGAGGGTACACCCAACAGGAGTTCTGGTGTGGTGGAGGGCATGACCAAGTGGGGTTCAGATATGGTGGGGGCCCTGACCAGCTGAGAGCCCCTGTACCAGAAACTCTTAAGACTTTTGGATAAAATGTCTAAATACATGTAGCAGAAAGTTTGATTATCATCAGTCACAGTTTGATTATCCCTTAATTTTGGGGTTAGTGGAAAGTTCATGAAATTCATAGATTTCTTTGTTTGTTTTTAACCAAGGAAGTGACACAATCAAAACAGCGGTCTCTTGAGGTCCCAGGGACTCCAGCTTGACTTCCATCATCAAAGCAAAACTGTAATGTAATTGCCTCCAAATCCAGGTCTCCAAATCAGGCCTCCAGTCTCTAGGGGTATTTTCTCTGCTAAAATTAGATTAGTGGAATGCAATGGAATAGCTCTGAAAGTGGCAGCCCACAGACGACCTTTCCAAGTGTGCGTTAGGCTTGTC